CACGAAGAAGTAGCCGGGCCATGGGCCGCCGGCTTCCGCAGTGCCGCTCTGGGGTCGCCTCCAGACATGACGGCCCTGGGCTCGTCCAAATCCTCCTCCTTCAGTCCATGTCCCTCCACTCCGACGATAACAGCGTACTTGACGACGTGAGCCACTTTGAAGACATTGGCCTCGAGGATGATACGACCCTCGCTACCAAGACCTTCGCCAAACACCTGCGCGATCCTCACGCCCGACCTTCTGTCGGTACCCGGCCATCCAACCCCTACGGCCGTTCCTACTCCACCGAGCGATATCCTCCTCATCCCGGGTATGCGGTCGCCGCTGCGGCCTCTGCGGCAGAGCATGCAGCCACGACGCCGCAGTCGAGCACCAGTCTCACGAGCCTCACAAGCCCCATATCCCCTCCCGCGACGCGAGACCTCGCAGCAGGCGCAAAGGGACGAAGGAAACCCGAGATCGGCCCTGTACCTCGTACACGGCCGGCCCTGTCCACGCTACAGACAGACCCGCGAACCTTCAACACCCGAAGCACCAGCCTCAATGCTCGCTCCGCCGACGGCCACAGGGGCATGCCCCATCCAAGGGGCCTTCTCAGTCGATCCGCCACGTCTCTCTCGTTCCCCAACCGCCGCCATCGCAGCCCGAGCCCCAACATGTCTCTTGTGCCGCGAGATCCGAACACGCTCATGCGTCCACGGCGCGGCAGTTGGCAGTCAGACCGCGACAGGAAATCGGTTCTTGAACTGGAGAACGAATGTGACGACGACGACGACGATAACATCCCCGACGGCCTTCTTCTCGATAACGTCCCCATCTCGCCCCGTCCACAGGCTGAGCGCGCCTTCAGCCGATCCTCCTCTCGCGCGCCCTCCAGCGATAGGGCGCCCAAAGAGCGCGTGCGCAGCCTGGGCAACGGCACACCCGCAATAGCCATGGCCCAGGGCTCCCTCAAATCACCGACCTGGAAGACGGATGCCGATGCTGCCGCACGTTCCACATCCCCAGCCGCCGAACCAGACGACGTCGATATACCCGAGCCACTCAAGGCCCGCGCCAAGAGCTGGAGCGCCGTACATTCGGGGCTCAGCGCCGAAGCCAAGGCCTTGACGGAGAAGCTTGAGGAGCATGCCGACGACAGCGGTGACATTGATAGCTTCTCCTACGTCCGAGGTCGCAAGGAACAGCGGCATAAGTCGGCGCTACCAGATCTGCCTTCGCTGCGCCAATCAAACATGATGATTGACGCTATGCCCATGTCGAAGGAGAAGGAAGCTGTCCTTGGGCGTACGCGGCCCTCGTGGCTGCCACCGAAAGATCCAAACGAAGACAAGAAGCACTGGAAAGAATACGAGAAGATGATGGCACGAAGGGCGGGAATCCGAGCGTCGACGGGAAGCAGAGAAGATGACGAAATCCAACGACCGTGACGTCACGGCCAATGGCTTGATGCGTATATGGGAAGACAGCATCATACCGCGGTGGTCAGATGCTATCAGGGAGCGGCGAACCCGCGAGCTTTGGTGGCGAGGCGTGGCCTCGCGAAGTCGAAGGCGTAGTGTGGTCTCGCGCCATTGGCAACGAGCTCGGGTTGACGCCCAACTCGTTCAAGGCGGCGCTGGGCCGAGCGCATGATGTCGACAGTCGCGTCAAGGCAGGCAAGGGTGACGCAGAAGACATCAGGAAGGAGGCCTGGCTTTCCAAGATTAGAGAGGATGTCAACGAGAATACGTGGCGAGATCTGCGTATCTTTCAGGTCGGCGGGCCTTTACACCAGAGCCTGGTTGATCTCCTCTCGGCATACGCCATGTATCGCAGCGACATCGGCTACGTAGCGGGCTGCAACGTGAGTAACCTGCCCCCTCCATGACCCTCCCCCGCCAGTGACTGACATGAGCAGACTGTCGGAGCTCTTCTCTTGCTTAATCTGCCGAACCCATCGTCGGCATTCATTGCTCTCGCCAATGTTCTCAACCGCCCGCTCTCGCTCGGCTTCTATGCATCGGACCCAGGCGCCAAGGCATCAGCCTACAACCTCGTCCTGCAGACGCTCCAGGTCAAATCTCCTGGACTGCATGAACATCTGACCCGCAACGTACCCGATGCCGACCCGGAAGTGTATCTCAACACCATCTTCACTGGGCTCGGCACGTCGCACCTTGCTATGGACGAGTGCGCACGGCTGTGGGACGTGTATGTGTTTGAAGGTGATGCCCTCCTCGTCCGTGCCGCGACGGCCATGCTGCTGCGTCAGGAGATGGCGCTATTGGGCACGAGAGATGGCGACGAGGTCCGCAAGCTCGTTGAGAGTGGACCGACGAAAAACGGCAAAGTTGCGCTGGCCGGCGGATCCGGTGATGAGGAAGGCTGGATGCGCTGGCTCAGGGAGGCCGGCAAGGCATGAAACCCCGTCTCGAGCGACAAGGCTCTGCGAGGGCCTACGTGACCTACGGCCGACTTGATGATTTTCTTTTTGGACAAAAAGAACGGAGGAGGGAAGGAGAATTAATTATTGCGATGCTACCTGGGAACATCGCTGGCGCCAATCTATGCACAGAAGAGGTGGTTGATATATGTTTGAGATGATAATGTATGTATAGAGCAGAGGTTGGACATCTCGTCAACAAGAACCAAGGAGGAAACGGTGGGTTCCGTCCATTCAAATGATCGCCGACAGCTTTACGTTCACGTCTCATCGTCACCGCCACATAGCGTGTACCCAGATTTCTTTGTGAGAAGCGATGCCATGCGAGGCTTCTAATGCTCGTACAAAAAAATGACATTGCAATGTATCAGTCCATTATCCGCCTTGGCTGATCCTTCCGCCCGTCGTTGTCGTCGTTTGCCCCGAGTCGAACGCGTCATACCGAGAAGCCAACTGAAATTTTTGCCCCCACCACCAGGCCACATCACACCAAACCCCGTCATCCTCATATGCTTCCTCTACTGCAGAATCTCCTCCGTCTCCTCGATGACCTCCTCCACAATCTCCTCGATGATCTGCTCTTCGGCGTCGGGGTTGGTGACCTTGGAAGCAAGCAGCTCGGCGATGGGGTCCTCGGGCAGACCGAGGTAGGCGCGCTCCTCGACAAGCTCCTCCTCGATCGACTCGCGCCACGCGAGCCACTCGTCGAGCTGGCGGCGGCGGGCCTCGACGACCTCGCGGTCCGCGGACGCGCCACGGTCGGCGTCCTCCTGCTCGAACGTCTTGCTGTACTCGCGCAGGTTCTTGCGGATCTGCTTCTGTTCCTCCTTGGTGAGCAGCGTCGCGGGGCGCGGGCGCCAGAGGAACTGCTTGAACTTCTCCACATGCTCCTCGCGTAGCTGCTCACCCTTGAAGTCGTAAATATGGTAGCCATTCTCCATCTACTAGGTGTTAGTCATCCATCTTTGGAGAGGGGGGATATTGATGCATGATGCGCAGGGATACTCACGCTGTGCTTCCACGAGGACGACCAGGTGGCGACGAAGCGACCGGAGGGGTCCCACTCAACGTCAGTCACGCCGTAGTGATCGGCCGTGTTCATGAGCTGAAGGTTGGCAGTCAGGTCCTTGTCTGACTCGGGCTTCTCGCCCTCAAAGTCGAGGTCGTAGAAGTCGAGGTCGGAGCTCTGCGTGTTGTGAACGGTAGCCACAACAACGAAGCGGCCGCGGGGTGACCAGTAGATGGAGTTGCTGTTCTTCTTATCGAGGGTGCGCAGGTGCTTGAAGTTGCCAGGCGTAGGACCCTTGTTCTTCTCCGGGCAGAAGAAGGCGACCGATGTCTTGGGCGCGACGGCCGTGGGGCCGGCGGGCCTCGGTGGTCGTGATGATGACGAAGCGGTCACCCTTGGGCTCCCAGGCAAAGTTGACGACGGTATCCTTGATCGTGTCGACGACCTCGACGGGAACGCCCTTCTCCTTGACGCGGAAAATCTCGAGCGACGTGGCCTGTGACTTCTTCGACTTGGAATGCCTGTCGACCTTGACGCAGAGGAAGGAGGCGTCCGACTGCCAGTGAAGCTTGACATCGCTGACGCTGAAGAGGTTCAATGTCCTCACGATCTCCTTGGAGGGAATGCTCATGAGACCGACCTTGGCGGGGTTGCTGCCAATCTCGGGAGTCCAGTAGCAGAAGAGCTGCTCGTAGTTCTTGACGCCCTCGCGGTGAACGGTGGCGGGCGCCCAGTCAAAGTCCATGACACCGGCAATCTTGATCGTTGTCTTGTCGAGCAGGCCCATGCGGGGGAGCTCGTAAACAGAAATAGAGGAGCCCTGAGTCAGACGGGCGACGTACTTGTCATCGGCCGACCACTTGAACGCAGGCCAGGGGGACTTGCGCTGCTTAGCGACGCCATCATCGCCCTCAGCACCGGGGACGTCAAGGCTCGCGAAGGATCGGAGGGGCTTGGACGTCTCAATGTCCCAAATGACGTAGTTCTTGCCGTCATCGTCCACAGAGAGCGCCGGGTGGCCGTCCTCGGGAATGGAGATGGGGCGAGCGGACCAAGTGACGATGTACTTCTCGTTGGGGGAGAAAGCGATGAGGTTGACAAAGGGGTGCGCGAACCGCCTTTGCCTGGACCAGGAAGCGCCGCCCCAGAGCTGAACACCTTGTGCGTGAACTGAAGTCAAATATGTGCCGAGGGGTGACCACTGGACGAAGCTCTCGGTCCAGTGCTGACGATCGACCACGGTCTCGGCGGGCTCCTTCTCGTTGTTCCAGCAGACGCCAACGGACTCTCCGCGGTACATGACGAACTGGTCGCGGCCACGGCCACTGGGGTCCTTGAGCCACCATCGGAGGTGCTCCTTCTCCTGGAACTCCTCAATTTGAGGAGGGGTGTAGTCCTCGTCAACGCGGCCCTCGCGACCGTAACGGTCAATGTCGGTCAGCTTGTTGACACGCAAGATGTGCTTCTTGTCGAGGGCAACCATGTCGAGGCCCCTGACGGCAGCGGCGGCCTCGCCGGCGGAAGAGTATTCGACAAAGGCGAATCTGTGAGACTTGTGAGCAAAACGTCGAGCTGTGAGACACATGTCGTTGGGGTGCGCCTACCTTAGAGACAGGCCATCCTCACCCATGGGCATGAAGATGAGGTCCTCTCGCGTCTTGCCGACCTGGTTCAGTTTCTTCAGCAAGAACTTGACCAGCTTGGGCTTCTGCTCCTCGGTGACGGCAGGAAGGCCATCAATGACGACAAACGTGTCGTAGCCATGCTCGAGTTGCACCTCGTACTTCTCGCGCAGGTCGGAAATATCGATCTCCTCCTCATCGTACTCGTCTTCGTCGAGGTCTGCCTCGCGAAGGTGCTCGTAGGACGGCGCCATGATTGCGGTTGCGAGTCGGGTGATGCGTTCCTGTGAACGGTGCCTATCGTCGTCGAGCTGGTTTTGGTGTGATGGGTATGTGTTTGTTGGAAGCGGTGTCGACCAAAGGATTATTGTCTATTGCTGGTGTTGCCCCGCAAATGCAATGTGGGATGATCGATCGGTGGTGGGCGCGCAAATGGGAAGGGAAAGGTGCTCTTCCTTGGTTGTATGGTGGCAAGACGATCTGGCGGTAAAGTGCCTGATGTCAGTGAGCAGTCGAAAAGCCTTGAGTCGAGGGCTATCCTTGCGCACCTTGAGATCTGCTGCTGAGGGGATTCGCGAGAGGTCCGAGACGTCTGTCTTTTTTTCGGCTGGCAATTTTTCGGGCACCAGGCAAGCAGCCAAATGTGTGGGCTCCAGGGGCAGTTGCGCTGAGAGGCGTGGGAAGGACCCCGCTCGGCCCCGCGCTGGTCACATGACGCACAGCTCAGCCACTGCCCACGTCTGTCAGCCACGCGAACACGTCCCAGGTTCCTGCCAGAAGTGCCCAAAGACGATGAGCTCAGGTAAGCTCCCACTCACCCCGAGCCCCACCAACGAGGGGACAGGGCAGGCTGAACCAAAAATTTCCAGAAGCTCCTAGATCACCACATCGGGGTAAGGTACCAGGCATATCGACGACCCCCTTCTGCCCATTTCTACCCACACACACGATACGGCGAGAAGAACCCAGCGGCACGTCTCCCTGTCATACCGAGTCGAATCGCACGCATTCTGCGACATTTTCACATTATGGTACGTTTTCCGTTGAGGCCTGGCCCCCCTTGTCCTCGGCCCTGCTAACCGTACCCTCTGCAGTCGTCTTTCAGCCCGACTCAGATCTTCGCAGATGGCACGACCGAGGAGAAGGGCGAGAACGCTCGCCTCTCTGCCTTTGTCGGCGCCATCGCCGTCGGTGACCTGGTGAAGAGTACGCTCGGCCCCAAGGGCATGGACAAGATCCTGCAATCCGGGTATGTCTGCCTACCCCTCCTACATCGTTGCAGTTGCCCCTATCGATTTGGGCGGACGCTTTGGCTGACAAACAGCCCAGCTCTACTGGTGAAATCATGGTTACAAACGACGGCGCGACTATCCTCAAGTCCATTGCTCTCGATAACGCGGCCGCGAAGGTGCTTGTCAACATTTCCAAGGTGCAGGACGACGAAGTCGGTGACGGCACTACATCCGTGGCTGTTCTCGCCGCCGAGCTGCTGCGCGAGGCCGAGATTCTCGTCAACAAGAAGATCCACCCCCAGACCATCATTGAGGGTTACAGATTAGCAAGCCAAGCTGCCCTGAAGGCGCTGGAGAACGCTGCCGTCGACCGCAGCAACAACCCCGAGGCTTTCCGCAAGGATCTGGTTGCCATCGCCAGGACTACGTTAAGTTCCAAGGTCCTTGCCCAGGACCGTGATCAGTTTGCCGAGCTCGCTTGCGATGCCGTCCTGCGCCTGAAACAGTCATCGGACCTCAGCCACATCCAGATCATCAAGAAGGCCGGCGGCAAGCTCAGCGATTCGTACCTTGACGAAGGCTTCATTCTCGACAAGAAGATTGGTGTCAACCAGCCCAAGCGACTCGAGAATGCCAAGATCCTCGTCGCCAACACGTCTATGGACACGGACAAGGTCAAAATCTTTGGCGCTCGCGTCAAGGTCGGTTCGACGAGCAAGCTGGCCGAGCTTGAGAAGGCGGAGAAGGACAAGATCGAAGGCCAAGGTGGAGAAGATCAAGGCACATGGCGTCAACTGTTTCATCAACAGGCAACTTATCTACAATTGGCCTGAGCAACTCTTCACAGATGCCGGCATCATGTCGATTGAGCATGCCGACTTTGATGGTATCGAGAGGCTGGCGCTGGTCACTGGCGGCGAGATCACTTCCACTTTTGACCACCCCGAGCAGGTTCAGCTGGGTCACTGCGACCTGATTGAGGAGGTCATCATCGGCGAGGATACTCTGGTCAAGTTCTCTGGCGTCGGCGCGGGCGAAGCTTGCACCATTGTTCTGCGCGGTGCGACCGACCAGCTGCTGGACGAGGCGGAGCGCAGCTTGCACGATGCCCTAGCCGTGCTGTCACAAACAGTCAAGGAGCCCAGGACAACGCTAGGCGGCGGGTGTGCCGAGATGGTCATGGCCAAGGCTGTTGAGGGCGCCGCCACCCGTGTCGAGGGCAAGAAGCAGATGGCTGTGTCCAGTTTCGCCACGGCGCTCAGGCAACTGCCGACTATTCTTGCCGACAACGCGGGTCTGGACTCGGGTGAGCTGGTGGCACGTCTTCGAAAAGCCATTTACGACGGCATGACCACCTACGGCCTCGACCTGATGTCGCCTGGGGGTGGCGTTGCTGATATGCGGGATCTTGGCGTCGTAGAGAGCTATAAGCTGAAGAAGGCGGTGGTGTCCTCCGCAAGTGAGGCGGCAGAGGTGAAATCATCTAATCCACAGTGTTTATTGTGCCTTTTAGCTAACAAATTAACAGCTTCTCCTCCGAGTCGACGACATTATCCGCGCAGCGCCGAGGAGGCGGGAGCGCGCTTAGACGGGTGATGCGATACCAGCGAATGGTGCCGTCTGAAGGGTTCACGAGTTGATGATGATTGAGCGATGGAATCCTTGTACAGACGATTAGAGGTCGCGCGCAAGTGAGGTAGATCCCGACAGCATGGTAGACAAAACGAACCCTGCCAGACAAAAGAGTCGCTGCATGCAAGTGTAATAGGGATGGCTCGCCTCCAAGCGTTGGCTTGTACTCTTTGGGGCACATGCAGCGTAGATCCGGGGACACGACTGATGACTACCCCTCGCCGGCTTGCCTATTAGAGGTCGGTGTTAGTGAGCCGTTGCACCCGGAATTGTCAAGAGACTGCCGTTTATCTTGCGAAAGCATGTGATGTGGCATTGTGTCAATCTCGAGGTGAATCTCGCCCTGGAAACATGCTTTGCTTACCCCAGGGCCCCGATTGAGGCAAGCTGCACGGCGTATCACGATTTGGCCCCCCCCCCCCCCTCCCCCGGGGCTGACAATTGGCGTTACACGGCATAATGACCTGATGGAGGAAGTCTCGTAACAGCAGATTTACTCAAGGAGGAGAACTGGGGGTATTTGGCGGACTCATATACTAGTGCTGATCCTACCCACCAAATACGCATGGTCATCGTCATTCCTTTCATATTGCCCAAGCATATGACTAGGCAGCCACCGCAACTTGCGTTCACGTCTTTATTCCTGCTCAACTTGCCCATAACTTTTACTTGTTGTGTGTCGTCGCGCTTGGGCTACACAATGCTGTCATTTGACTGATGGCCTCTTTTACGTCGAGTCCATGACCGCCAGCAAACGCGCCTACCAACGTATCGGCGCAACCAAAGTATGCCAGGCCGCTTCCTATGCTTATACGTGGGAACCAATACCGCGGCTTTTGAGTATATAGCTTCTCAGCAGTCAGTCGTCGCTCTACGATCTGTCTCATGCGAGAATGATGGTGGATTCGCAAGTCCGCGCCAGCTTGGCTCTCTCGTTAGTCTTCTCCGTCCCGACCATATGCCACTGCCGTCTTAAGCATGGTCGACATTGATGCTTTATAGTCTCTTTCTTTTTGGCGTTGCCTGCCTCTCGCTGCGTTATAATTCGAGCGCTGCATTCGGTATGACTGACATGAACTGTGATGCAAGCGAACTGGTCACAAAAGCTGACCTACACCCAGAGAGACCCATCCATTTTGCGATTCTGACCTTTCTGATGTCTGGAGGAGCCATTGCAGCAGCAGGGAGGTTCAAGGAGACCAACAAGACCCATCTGGGTACATATGACCCTGATACCACGCATCCCATTGCCAAGCCGACGTGGCAGGCCTACATCGACTCGACCTCTGACAGTGTCAGCACCCCTTCTTTCCGTGGTACTTGTTTCGCTGTCAGCGGCATCGTTGTGCGTGTGTTGCTGACTCGGCGTGTCATTCGTACCGTGCACTGCTCAAGTACTAGCTACGAGACTCTACTCCCATCATTCACAACAATTTACGCCGCCAGCCTGCTAAAGCCGATGCAATCAGGCAAAGCCGTCAGCGACCGAAGCGGCGGTTGGAGGGCCAAGCTGGCCTGCGCCCAATACCCCATATTTGCGCTCATCTGGGCACATGCTTCACGGGTCACAATCAGGCTGACCTCGTCTTCAGCAGGGGCTATATGCCCAGCTGGATCCCTTCGCTGGGAGCCTTACACGCCCCTCGCCCAGTGCGTTACCGTGCTCGTTGATGCCATGCTCGTCACTCGGGTGGCTGAGAGTAGACGACACATCTCCAACGCATGGCACCGCACTGCGCACATTTTGTTGGCCTCAGCCGGGGTGCTAACCGTCCTGGCCATGTTCTCGTTCTATCATCCTCGAAACATCCGATGGGCTTTGATGCTTGACTATGTGGCTGTACGCGACCTTCTCGTCGATGGTTCGACTGCTTGTGTCACTCTTCTTACCGGTATCTATCTTCTCTCCTGTATGCTCCCGAGCACACTTGCACTCTCCATGACTGCTGTTGCCATTTACACGCATCATCTAGCTCGTACATTGGCGAGCGCACCATCGATCAATCAGTCTCTGATGACTGTCGCAGTTGTCAACACTGTCCTCACCCCAGTTATACTCCTGAGCCTAGATCCTCGGGCCGCCACCGTCACGGGACTGCCTGCCAGCGATGTCCGTCTAGTTCGCTTCCTCGCCAGGTCATACGTTGTCCTTACGGGTGTCCTCTTTGGGGCCTTTCTCGTGTGTTCTCCAGACGTAGTGCTGGGCGGCGCCATCTCCATACAGGATCTCATCAGTGCAGCCAACGTCCGCTCCGACCACTGGGTAGCTCAGGCGAACCGCAGCACATCTCTCGTGGAAGCGGTGGAAGAATATCGTCGGCGTTATCAGGTGCCGCCGCCACCCAACTTTGACAAGTGGTACGAGTATGCGACGATACAGGAGTCGGTTGTCATTGATGACTTTGGCCAGATCAGCATCGACTTGAAGCCTTTTTGGGGGCGTTCGCCGGCTGCCCTCCGCGAGCAGACGAGGCACATGCTATTGTACACGCCATGGCTCAGCATGGCAGGTATCAAGATCCGAAATGGCACGGTTAAAATTATGCCGGGCGTGCCCGGCTCCCACGCCTAGATGATGTCAGCCATGCCGAGATGATTGAACCATTTGCACAACACCTTCCCGACTTGGACTTTGCCATGAACCTCAACGACGAGCCAAGAGTGGCCGTTCCGTATGAAGGGATGAATAGGCTCCATGCAGATTCCGATGGGCTCGGCTCGATCAGAGCTTGCGCTGAGGGAAGAACTACGTCCTTTTGATGCCTCCCAAACGCCCACGTGGCCCGAGGTCGAGCTGCGAGACAACATGGATCCATCACCCTACTTCACAAACGAGTTGCGCAACCAGATCTACTACAGTTGTATAGCGCCTGCATGCGCACCGACATCAGCCACAGGGAACTGGCGTTGGTGGAGTCGCCGAGACGCTTGTCCCGCCTGTATTGCACCGCATACAGCATCCATATTTGAAAGCGCCTCGCGCGTCGTTATGAACTGGACGAAACGCGACAGATTTGTGCCATCAACCAGATCTCGCCTACCTACATGAATTCCTCCTGTCGCCAGCTGCAGTTATGCCGACGAAAATGGCGTTTCCTGTGTTCAGTCAGACAATGGCCGAGGGGTTCGCTGACATCTTGTTGCCTTCGCTTTGGAACTTCAACGATAAGACCGCATATGCCGACGACAAAGGGGTTTTGTGGAACAGAAGGAGAATACTCTGTTTTGGCGCGGACCAGCGTCTGACGGCTAATGCAGCACGCGGGTCCTGGCAGACTTCATTGCGTGCCCGGCTTGTCCATGCAGCGTCTCATCTCCCACCGTTGACGGCGAGCAACCCGGGATATGACCATGAGCTACCAAGGGTCGACACTGGTTTTGTGGACGAGTTCCAAAAATGCCACCAAGACGACTGCCGCTCCGAAGAGACAGCATTCTGGGGGGCTGGCGCCGAAAAGCCTCCCCTTGAGCGAGTTCCGTTCGAGCAGCACTGTCAATATCGACACCTGATGGACCTTGACGGCGCGGGCTTCAGTGGTCGCTTCTTGCCGTTCCTACGGAGTCGGAGTCTTGTCTACCGCACGGGGCTGTTCCGGATGTGGTTCGGGGAGCGGGTACACGCGTGGCGACACTATGTACCGGTGGACGTGCGCCTGCATGAGCTCTGGGATCTGTTGCGTTTCTTTGGCGGGGACAGGGGAGGAGCGGGGCTGGGGCAGAACATCGCCATGGAGGGCAGGGCGTGGGCGGCTCAGGCGTTGCGCAAGCAGGACATGCAAGTGTACATGTTCCGGCTGTTGCTGGAATGGGCACGGTTGGTTGACGACCAGAGGGACAGCCTTGGATATGTTACATGAGACGCTTGAGTTTCCGTGGATGAGGTGAGGCAGTCTGATACCATCAAAGGGGGAAAGAGCAGCCGCCTTGGCCATTCTCCCGCGTCAGGGTAGATCCTCGATCGACAGTTCTCTAGCCTACTGTGCCCGGTTTTCCAGCCATACCACAAGGAAGGGGTGGCTTGCGGATTGTCATAAACCTTGGCCATTAGGGACTCCATTGTGGTGTGACGTGGAGTGATCCTGGGTAGACACCAGGGCGGAGATTGTTCGTGAAAGCAGGCGACAACCGTTCGACTGTCAGACGAGTCGTGCGGCGCTCTACATCTCTCTGTCCAGCTGTTGGTACTCCTCGGGCCACGATCCATCGGTTCAGCCTTAGAGAGAAGATTTTGGTGATGTGACCATCATTGAGTGTATATTCTCAGCGGCCATGAAATCACATGCCGAGTGGTCAGATTTGGCGCTGACGGTCGGTAAGGAGAAGATCGGATGACGGAACAAATGGCCGAAGAGGGTGTAGGCCACTGGGGGGGGTGATCTCTCAGAGTGCAGTGAAGAGCGTTCACACCGGACGATTCGGCATCCTGCCTGAACCGAGAGTTTAAGGTGATCGAGACGTGCCTTGCAGACAGCAGTACCAAAGATGGACAGTATTTTGTCCTCGGAAGTGACTGTCACATGCCTTCAATCTTTGATCAAAGAAGGGAGGTCGACCAGTGAGTACCGCTCATGCGCCTTGCCCCGGCCGATGCCCAGGCCCGGAGCGCCGACTACGCCCCAACAAAAAAAAAACCCTGCGAGTACCCGAATTTTGTCTCTACATCCCCAACAGAAATGCATACCCGCAGGAGCCTGAACAGAGAACGGTAACAAGGCCATCCAACTTTGCAGCGACGAAGGCAAAAAGGGGGGAGGGAGGGGGAAACGCTGCCCCTCATTGCTGCGATTTTCGCATGCTTCTCCACTCTGAA